TGTTCTTGACCCCCAAGTGCAGACCCTGAGTTAGCTATTCCAGGGATTCTGCTAGGCCTAGAAGTTTAAAAAAAATTCCTCTGTGTCCTTCGAAGTTCACAAGGCCTTCCTCCAGTCAAAGTGCAAAAAGGAAGATACCAAAACTATGGCTGGGCCTTGCTGTTATGTCATCCCAACACCAAGTTCCTTGTCCGGGTCTTGCCTGACAAGCTTCCATCACTAAGCTGTCAGATGCTTACAGCCTCCATTCCAAACTAGCTCACTGGTTTTATACTAGCCTCACATGGTCTGACCAAGCTCCTTAACCAATCAGAACATCCTTTGGTTAACTGCTCTGATCAATTTAATCAGGATGATCAGACTGTTGGCTACTTTGGGAGGGAGTGGGGATGGGGGTAGGGTGGAGGGTGGGGCATGGAGTGATTTGATTGACTAATTTAATAGACCTCAACCCTTGCACTTTATATCCACAGTGGCTAAAACATTGGCTTGCACATAGTAGGTGCTTAGTAAGTTTTGAATTATGGTATTTAGAGGGTTTCTTTCTTTTTTTTCCACAGTAAGTTAGCAAGGTTAGGGTATAAGTTTCAGACAGTTAAGTATTAGGAGATAGAGATTTTAAGAGAAGATAGGAGCAGTTGGTGGGTTCAAATGGCAATTCCAAGCCACCAAAATGAAATATTTTAGTTCCTGGAATTTCTCCTCTGTGTGTGTGTGTGTGTATGCACGCGCGTGTACATGCGTGTGTATTGAATTGTGCTGTATCCAAGACTTTCAGTAACCAGAGAGTAGAGTGACTTTTGTGTCTGAATTTACTCTGCAGAAATAAACAAATTAAATTGTGATAGAGTACAAATCTCTCATTGACTGCATGTCAAACAGATGAGATTCCAATAGTTCCCATCTTTAGGAATGATGAATAAATGAGCAAAAGACTGAAAAATAGAGAAGCCAATGAAAAGCACTTTTGAAGCCAAATCATTCCATTCTGGTTGTGCTGGGTGTAATAGATTAGAAGCAAACAACAAAAAGCCCTTCAAGCTATCCATTTTATAGGAAGGGATTAATGATAAATACAAGACTTCACCTGACATCATGCCTGGCGTGTTATATGACTTTCCCTAGCCCTTAAAACATTTGTCTTTACTAGATAACCAGGAAACATTGTTCACATTGGGCATTGGACTTAATGTGATCCATCACTGCAGATAGTATCTAAAAGCTGAGTAATTTGGTGGAACAGCAGAAGGAATATCACCTTTTGTTCCCTATTACAGATTGTAAAGGCAGTGAATAGTCAGTAAGTTGTAGTGGGAACGGCCCTGGATTTATATCAAGAGGGACTTCATTCAATCCTTAGATTTGTCATTAACTACCTTGTGTGACTTCCTTAATACCACAATAGCCTTAAGATGAGAAAGTGCCAAGGCTGAGCAATTCCACGGGGAAGTGCTGAAGTTGTTCTGTTGAAATAGCACTAACCAGGCCCAAGGGTCCACCAGAATCCACAGGCCTGCCATGCTATTATCATCCAGCCAGAGTAGTTTGACACCAAAGATCCTATGTCATTTTCACCTTTGAGAACCAACAAGGGGGCAGCTAGGTGGCACAGTGGATAGTGTACCGGCCCTGGAATCAGGAGGACCTGAGTTCAAATCGGGCCTCAGACACATAACACTCACTAGCTGTGTGACTGTGGGTAAGTCACTTAACCCCCAATTGCCGAGAGAGAGAGAGAGAGAGAGAGAGAGAGAGAGAGAGAGAGAACCAACAAGAAGCTGTTGGTTATATTAATCTTTTCTTCAGAATAATCATCCTCTTATGAAGCGTTTAGTTCATTAGCTTTTTTCCAGGACATTAGTATGAAACCCAGGCCTGTTGTGTTTCATTAACATTCGAGGAAGGTGGTTGGTTGTTGAGAACAAACTGAGAATTAGCTTTAGAACAGAAAGCAAGGTTTGTACTTAAAGTTCAGATATGGTATGAAAATGCCTTTATTCTCTCATCAACTAGAAGACCTGGAAAAATTGTTTGTGATAACTAATTTAAAGTATCAGAACGTATATGAATTTTCTATTATTTCTCCAGCTTAGAAATGTGAGAGTCTTTTATCAGATTTTGTTTTGTTAGAAGCCTTTTGTCTTTGTTAATAGAGACTATTTTTTTTAAATTAAGTTTTTGCCTATTGCAGATGAAATACTGTGCCTGAATGCCCTAAAAAGCATCCACATATATAAAATTTGGGACCGCTGTATTTCATTAGTCATTAACACTTGTCAGTATCTGCAGAATACTGTAGTTTATAGTATATAGGGATGGTGATAGGGACTAGACCTGCAATTTTATTGGTATAGGAAACTCCCAGATGAGGAAGCTCCCTCAATACAAAAATATCAATATTTTAAAATTTTAAATAATTAATATTTCAAGTGTTTTCTTTTGTAAGTTTGTAGCACTTATACTTCTAAAGTGATTAAAGCTTAAAATTGCACTAAGATGTTTAGGATACCCTGTATACACACATGTGCACACACATGTATATATGTATGTGTGTATATATGTGCATATATATGTATATGTATGTGTACACATGCTTATATAACACTTGTGACTGGGCTATTATCATTTAACAACTATTTGACCACTTAGGAAAGTCTCAAATAAATATTTTAGATTTTCTGAAGATTTTTTTTTCAATAATAGGGAAGTAGAAAGAAAGGGAATATGTGAGGGAGTCTTACATGTGCCCTTGGTTCCCAGATTTGTAAGTCTGAACTTTAAAGGAAACCCAAGGGTTGAACATCCATTTTCCCAAACTATAGAAATAAATAATGAGGCCAGAAGGTAGCGGTATAAGAAAAAAATACATTTGTAGACAATAAGAGTAAATGTAGATAAATAGAAAAGGTCAGGAATGACCTTTGCTTTTAGTAAATAATTGAAATAAGCCAGGAATGAGAGTTGAGGTGGGATAAGACCACAGATCTTAAAAAAAAAAAAGGAATTTCACGTTCATGTAGCTAAAGGTCATTTGGAAACTTAGTAGATAAAGAAGGGGTTACTTCTCTTTTTAGGTCTGTTGCTTTTTAATAATATGTGTTAAGTGTTTGGTAAATCTTAAAAGACAATGTAAAAGTAAGATATTACTACTGCTACTATACTACTACTACTACTACTACTGTTTCTAACTGCTACTGCTACTACTACTACTACTGTTCTCCATTTTCCTTTCCTCTATCATGAAAGATTCTTGGAGTAGAAAAGTGTATCATTTAACTCTCTGTTTATAACTTCACACATAACTGCCCTTGCCCCATTCAGATGGACATTACTCAACTGCATTACTATGTCCCTTCATCAGAAAATTGAAAAACTCTTTTAATGTAGAGATGAAGAAAATTCTGTAATATGTGGGTTATATTTGTTGTCTTCCACTTGTTTGAGTCTTTTCTTTTCTACGAGCAAGATTGTATGTGCATTCAGATTTTGTGAATCATCTAAATAATTAAAAATGATTCATACCTTTACATCTTCATTGTGATGTTGCAACAATTTCTCCAGAAAACAGTACCCAATCTCTTATTTTTAACTCATTTATCTACTCTTCTTCATTATCCTAATTACTGAGAAATACAACTACATGTTCCATTCAACTTTGAAACAACTTAGCTGACCCAGGCAATTAAAAATTAATGTACAACTCAGAATTTTAGTTTAGTTTTCAACTTAATTGATTGCTCCTATGACTGATAAACAACTGAACAACAACAAAAATTTCTTCTGCTTTCCTTTTGATTGTCCCATAGATGCTTTATGCATATGAAAGCCTGCTCTGAAACTCCAGCATGTTCTCCTCTGGCTGCTCCTCACCTGTCCACATTGTACCTATTCATGAAAGTCTTTTTTAGGTTTTGCCTATTCTGTGAAACCTCCCCTCTCACTCCGAACCATATTTTTATCTCTTTCTTCTAAACTCTGATAGCACTTGTGTTCTATTTGATACAATTCACCACTTCATTTATGATGTGATGTTTGATTATGTTATGATTATGATGTGATGATCATTATGATGTTACCTAATTGCCTCCTATAAATAAATATTGCCTTTCCAACCAGGTTAGAAAGAAACACCTTGAGAAAAAGGACCAGGTTGCAAATGTCTCTGATATTCCCAGTAACCTTAGATGAGTACTAAGCACATAGGAAACATTTAGTAGATACTAACTTTTACTATGATCTCTTCCCCCCTACTCCCACATATGTTTCCATGGCATATAGCTCATTTCATATTGCTTATGAAACATGGTTTTCTTCTCAGTAAAATAGAAACACACTTGTATTTCATCTTTGCCTGGTTTAAAAGCTGCTAAAAATAATTTGTGGCCAATGTATTGCAAAACATCAAAATAGCATCTTTCTCTTTGAAAGCACATTGAATTAGTCAGTTCTCCTGAATAAGATTCCATGACTACAAAGTGATGATGCTTTTCCTAGTGTTTTTAGCCCTTTCTGTTTATCATACAATTAATATTTCGTATATAACTGTACCATTTATCCTATCTACTAGTTGATTTTTATTAAAAATCAATTCTTTGCTGATGCAAAGTGAAATGAGCAGAACCATGAGAAAAATTTATGCAACAACAACAATGTTGCAGAGATAATCAACTTTGAAAGGCTTAGTAACCTTGATTGACCAAACAAATAATTCCAAAGTATTCATGATGAGACATGCTTTCCATCTTCAGATAGAAAGTTGGTGAACACAGTGCGGAATGAAACATATTTTCTTTTATTTCTTCTCCTCCTCCTCCTTTTTGGATAAGGGGGAATTTGTTTTGCATGACTACACATTTGCAATGTGTTTTGTTTTTCTTGCCTTCTCAATCAATGGGTGGGAGCAGAAGGAAGGAAAGAATTCAGAACTGAAAATAAAATTGAACTAAAAAAAGAAAAAAGTTCATTCATCTACTTAATATACTTTTTTCTTTAATTACCAGTGTCATCATTACAACAGTTTTGTACCTCTCAGATGCCCTTCGTAAGAATTTCTTAAATGAAAACTTTGATTATAAGGTAAGTGTCTATTTAACTGATTGCCTGATATTATATTTCTTCCTTTGTGTGGTATATATTCTTGCTGCTTTTAGCTAAAATCTCTAACTAAAAGTTATTTTTTCTTAATAAAAGAAGTCTTGTAGCAGTAACCTCTTAACCTGCGTAAGTGGCCAGGCTCTGTAATGTCAACTATTGGGGGGAAGAAGGCTAAAGGATTGCTTTAGCTCAGGATTTCTGAGCTACTACAGATTATGTTGATTTAATTATCTGCACCAAGTTTGGCATTAATATGGTACACTCCAGGGAGCAAGGGGTCACTAATGTGGGGCAAACTAACCCAAACTGGAAATGGAGCAAATCAAAGCTCCAGTAAGCATTGGTAGTAGGACCTGGTCCATTAGTAGTTCCTGTACTTTCAGTCTGGGTGAGATGGGGAGAACAAACTTTAAAACAAAAAACAAAAAATTTGGGAAAGAAAATATAGCAGAAGCAAAATAGCAAATTTCAATTACTTTGAAAAAAAAGTACCATAGGTTTTTAGTGCTCCTTCCTCTTGTCCTTCAAATCATGTGAGTGGAAGCCCAGAATGTTATTAGAAGACTCATAATATTATGATTTTAGTAGGACTTGGTAAAGAAAAGTTTGAAAAAAAAACTGGGTAAAACCTTCCCTCTCACATTTCTTATTCAAGATAAATGAGGGTTTGGTCAGAGGAGACATAATGTCATAGCTTTCTTCATGGCTAGTCTGATTCATGTAGAAGTGCATGAGAACTTATTAAATCTAATTTTACACAAGACAAATTAGCAATAAAGGGAGTGATAGAAGTAAGATAATGAAAAGAGTATGAGACTCAGAAGCCCTGGGTTTGGATACCAGCTCTTCTCCCTACCAGCTGTGTGACTTCAGACAAATGATTTAACCTTTCATATCTTCAGTTTTTTCAAATTATTTCTAATGTTCCTTATAGTTCTAACATTTTGTAATTCTCAAATAAGATCAGAAAAATGTGTTGAGCCACCATTGGTTCCCCACGTTATTTCTGACACCATGCTAATGGTTTTTTTCCCCTTTCTTATCTTTTAGTATGTGAAATTAAATACCCATAATATTGACCTGGGGACAGTAAATATTTATAAAGATTGCAATTTAAAAGAGTAGCATTTTCTTTTTATCTTTGTTAATATCTCTTGTTTTTTTTTATATCACGTTCATTTCTCAATGATTTTCCCTAAGAATAGGGAGAGGAGGTATCATTTGTAACAAAGATTTTAAAAGAAAGGCAATAAAAAAATCAGTTTTGCAAAACTAACCAACACAGCAACCATGTCTCCCAGTATATGTATATTCTACTCCTGCAGTCTGTTACCTCTGGAAAAATGTTGGGAGATTTATTTTCTCATCCTTTCTGAGGCCAAGCTTGCTTATTATATTTAAAAAACCTGTTGGTGGAATTTTGGATTAATTTAGCCCTTATGAAATGTAATTATGAAATGAAATGAGACTATGCTGAGAAGGTAACTAAAATATCCATACCCTTCAACCCAGAGATTACACTTTTAAGTATATACCCCCAAAGGTGTCAAAGATAGAAAGAAAGGCTCCATATAAACCAAAATATTCATATTAGCACTTATTGTAGTAGCAAAGAATTGGAATCAAAGTCCATCAATTGGGGAATGTTTAAACAAATTATGGTACATAAATGTGATGAAAGTACTCTCCTCTAAGAAAGTGATGAATACAATAAATTCAGAGAAGGATGAGAAAACATACAAAACAAAGAATAAAATAAGAATAACCAGGAAATTCATATGCAGTTGCTACAAAAATATAAATGAAAAGAATAACAATAAAACAATAGAAAATGAATGCTGTAAAATTATAATGACTGAACTTTGGCTCCAAAAAAAACAGCATAATGTGTCTACTTCCTTTTCCCAAGGCTGAGAATTATCGGTATAAAATACTATACATAATATTGACCTTCGCTGATATATTGGTTGGCTTTGCTGGACATTTTGTCTTTTTAAAAATTCTTTATTGTGAAATGGGGTCTCTGGGAAAGGAAAGAGATGTATTGGGAATTATAAGTAGAATAAAAACAAAAGGAATCAATAAATAATTTCACAAGTTCAGTTTTGGTTTTTGTTCTTTTTGTTACCTTTTTATAGTCAATTGTGCATTCCTGGTTCTACTTAGTACACTTTGTACCAATTCGTATAACTATTCCCATGCTTCTGAATTCTGTAACTTTTTTTATAACATAAATTATATTGCATTCATGTACCACATTTTGTTTAGCCATTCCCTAACTGATGGGCGTCTACTTTATTTCTAGTTCCTTGCTACTATGAAAAAGAGCTGCTATGAGTATTTTGATGTGCATGTGACCTTTCTTTCAGCTCTTGATTTTTTGGGTGGGTGTGTGCAATAGGCTTCTTGGATCGAAGGGGTGACTTTGTTTAATATAATTCCAAATTTCTTTCCATAATGGTTAGACAAATTAATAGCTCCAATAATAGCATATTGATATGTCTGTCCTTCTGTAACCCCTGCAATCTAGGCTTTTTTCATTTTTTTTTTGTCTTTTCCAATCTTCTGTATGTGAGGTTTTGATAGCAGTCTGCTACATTATATGGTTGTTATTCTTTGGGGAATTTTTTCTTCCTATCATTTTACCACTTAAGAATAGCAATTTCAAAATGATATTTTTATAAGTCCATCCCAAAATTAAACAAGAATGAATTCATCTTTCTGGTATCTCAGTCTCCTTGAAAATACTCTGGCATGTAATGATATACAAATAATTGGATAGTTGATACAGATCAGGTCAGACACAACATGAATTGTGATTAGTGGTTTTAAGGAGACTGCAGCATTTACATATCTTATTCTTCCCTTTAGATCTGGGATTCCTACTTTTACCTCGCTGTCATTTTCATAAACCAGTTGTGTCTGCAGTTGGAGATGTTCACACCTTCCAAAAAGAAAAAAGTTCTGGAAAAGTAAGTACTGATATTGGCTCAGGTGATAATATTGAACTATTAAAGACATATTCTTCAAATCATTGGAAATTCATGAATGCTGTAAATGATCTTAACAGCTTTTTATCCCATAGGAAAAACTGAGTTCCATGATAAAAATAGAATTCTTTTTCCAAATTTAAAAAAGACTAAATGCCCTTTGATGTCTTTTCCAACTCTGGGATTCTGTGGTCAACTATGGAGAATTAAAGCTGAAAATAAAAGGGAAAATGAAAAGCAAATTTAATCTTTAAATTTTTGAGATTTGGGTTTACTTGCATAAGTATTTCTATGTTTCTGAGTGATCTAAAGTTTGGTATATCAAGCAAATAAACTTAAGAAAATGAGTGTGTGACTTGATTGGGAGATACTTAAATATATTGTGTATACTTGACATTAGTTGGTAAAAATGTATCACCTACTTCAGAATAATTTACTATCATAAAGTGACTTCTCATTGTTTCACTATTTGTGAGACTTCTTTTAATCTCAGATTTGTTCATTTTCAGATATGGTGATATGCGGGTAACAATGGGTTGTGAAATCTTCAGCATGTGGCAGAATTTAGGTAAGTAGTGACAAATAAACCATTTTCATTGTACAGGTGATAAATATACTTTTAATCGTAGTGACAATGAGGAAAAAGCAATATCCAGAAGACAAAATTTGGAAGAAAACAGCTGTCAGTGGAAATATCCACATTAATTCTTCAATTTGATGAGATTTGCAACTAATTTTTCTGCAGTCTTTTTGAAAAAAATCGTTAGATTATAACTAAGGTGGAGTGCTTTCTTCTAAGGCACCAACATTAGGGAGTATACCTCCTGTCACTGGTAGTCCTCTAGACTAGTTCCTTCATCTTACAATCCTTTGCTGGTTCTGTTCCTTTCTCCCTCTTTTAGCTTCAAGTTACCACTCATCTCAGCTTCCCATCACAACTGTAGTTGTTAGTTTGTTTCAGTCCTGTGTGACTCTTCATGACCCCATTTGGGGTTTTCTTGGCAAAGATGTTTTACAGATGCCTCAGGAAACTGAGGCATACAAGATTAAATGACTCTCCCAGGGTCACGAAGCTATTAAGTATCTAAGGTCAGATCTGAACCAAGGTCTTCCTGACTCCAAGTCCAGCACTCTATCCACTGAGCCACCCAGTTGCCTCCCATCCCTGACTTCAAATGGCTTGTACATGAGATGATGAAGGCAAAGTAAAGAGGGGTGTTGAGGAATAATAATAATAATAATGAATAATGATAAGTAGCTAACACCTTAGGTTTACAAAGTACTTTACATGTTATCTAATTTAATCCTTACAACAACCCTGGGAGGTACACAGTATTATTATCCTCATTTTTCAGGTAAGGAAACTGAGACTGAGAAAGGTTTAAATGACTTGCCCAAGGTCAAACAGCTAATAAGTGTCAGAAGTCAGATTCAAACCCAGGTCTTCCAGACTCCAATTCCAGTGCTCTATCAACTGAATTAGCCAACTGCCTCAAAATCCCAAGATCTTGTATTTCAAGGTATCTTTTCCTAGCACAGTTTGACCCTGCTTCTGTCTGTAACTATGCCAGTAGCAATATACTAGGTTCCCTGCCGTTCTAGGGTCTCTATCTCCCCATTAACCTAATTCAATGATCTGGAACATCACCTCCCCAAGAAATGTTATATCCTAAATTTCAAGACTTTTCCTTAGGTCCACTGTTTTCTCACGAATGAATGTTTTCTGATTGCCAGGATACCTAGATATAGTCCTGAAAAATACAATAATCTTTGTATTTGATAATTAGTTGATAATCAGTATTAAAATCACTCATTGTTTTAAAAAAATAAGTACTTTATTTCTCTTGATTTATTAATGTGGATAACTGCTCAGTTTCTACAAAGACCCCAAATTGAAGCTACAAATTCTCTAGAGTTCAGTTTGAGCTTCATAAAGTGTTAACTTTCAGCATCATTATTCTGGAAAACTTTATTCCTTTAAGCCACATCATAAAGGGTATTAAAAAATGATTTTTTAAATATCTACAGTTGCTAAGAGACTGTTATTTCAATTTGGTTAATCTTCCCCACCAGATAGGGAATATTATTTCTGCAAATTGATAATGCAGACCTGGTCACACTAGAAAGAACTAGCATTCAGAAGAGAAATTGTTTTAGAATTTCATTGGCACTAGATCTTCTTTTCTAGACATTTATAACTTATTTAATTTGATCATTATTTTCAGCTATGTAAATTTATTTGAAAAATCTGCACTTTTATCATTCGATTTCTGTGGTTTATTAAAGTAGCTTATCTCTTTGAATTGAATGTGTGATAAGTTGAATGTTTTTTCTATTAGTTTTTTTTTTTTTAAGAATATGTTACAAAACCAGGTTTGGACATGTTTCTACTTACAAAGTAACAGGCACCAACCAACACAATAGTTATAAATATCATTCTTGCTACTCAAGAATATGGGATATGATGATGAGGACTATGTTTCATGAAGATGTGTGGATGGATTGATGTTCCTTGCATTAGTGGGCTTCCTTATTTTTCTTTCTCCCACTACACAATAATAAAATTACATCCTAAAGGAATTGTCAACGAAACTGACATGTTGTGTACATTCCAGACTTTGGGGTAATTATTCAGTTTAACAAGTCGTCCACAGAGCCTGCCAAGAGCCATCCTGAGCAATTGAGAAAAATCACCCTCCTCTCTGGCCACTGTTCTTGTCTCCTGATTAGAATGTAAACTCCTTGAGGGCAGGGCAGCCTTTGTTTTTTGCATTGATACCAGCACTTAGCACAATGTTTAATAAATGATGATTAATAAATGCTTTATCATCCATCCATTCATTTATTCCTTCTAGACCTGAGGTGGTATTACTGAAGTAACTCCAGAGTTTGTACCTCTTTAGTCTTCTGCACTAGAAATTTATGGTATTTTCTTGGCCATTTTCTGTCTTTCATTAGGGAACTTATTTCAGTGAAAGGATGACCCTGAGTTCCACAGGGTTGTAAATTTGACCTGGTTGTGGGTAGAACCATGCTGAAATTGACTCATGGTATGGTGTTCCCAGATCTTGAATAAAGACGTCTTTTCCAGTAAAAGCATATCTTCCTAAGTGCTAGGCACTTGTGCCAACTATCCACATCTGTGACACAGCTCCCAAAGTGGTCAGAATAAACCTCAGGGCAAGCTGGGGAATAAGTTTTGCTTGCTTGTCATTTGTTTTCTGATGTTAAATGAGTGCAGCTGAAAGCTTTGGCCAAAGAGAACTTAGAGGTTCCTGGCCTCTAAAAAAAGAAAAAGAGTAGATGCCAGGGCAGCTTTGTGGTCTTTGTCCTTGGGCCACGATGCTCAGATCTGTGCTTTGATGATCTAGCTGTAATGTAATAAATGTTTGCTCAGACCCACCCTAACCCCTAATTAATATAGAATGTTCAGATTCCTAGACTTGTGTAATAACATGTAGGTGGTTTAGGAAAGATGACTTAAAGACTTTTGGGATCATCCAAACATAGCCCATGTGCCAATTTGGACATATAGTCTATAGAATTCTTATAAGGCAAAATGATTTGTTTCCAAGAGGGAAGCAAACTGCATACATAATATTTCTCCTATTTCATAAAACACAACAAGTTTAGGAAACCTCAGTTTACATTGCTGAGTGACTTGACTTCAAACTCTGGAAGATGGGCCTTATCCTATTGAGGAAGATAATCAGGACAAGTAGATTATCAGTCAATATGCACTTGCTAAGGAATCCCTATGTGATAGGCACTGCTGAGTACTAGGAATAGGAAGGAATAGCAAAAATAGCCTCTGCCCTCCAAACTTATGTTGCCCTATTAGGGAGGCAAGAGCATCCCTAAATAAATACAAGATACATATACATGGTAGGTAGAAACTAACCTCAAAGGCAAAGGCACCAGTAGTTAGGGGGACCAGGAAAGACTTCCGTCAGAAGGTGATGTTTCAGTTGATTCTTGAAGAAATTTGGGGATTCCAAGAGGTGAAGGTAAGGAGAGAGTGCATAGAGGATAGCCAGTGTAGAATCATGGAGAAGAAAGATCAATGTGTATGGAACTGCTAGCAGGCCAGAAGAGCTGGACCATAGACTATACAAAGAGGAATGATATATAAGAAAACTGGAAAGGTAGCAAGGGGTCAGGTTATGAAAAGCTTTACATGCCAAACCAAGAAGGTTATCTTTGAACCTAGAACTAGTTAATAAGGAATTTGTTGAGTGGAGGGATGGGCTAACATCCCTCTTAAACTTTAGGAAAATCACTTTGGGAAAACTACATGAAAGCTGGCTTAGAGTAAAGAGATTTGACACAAGGAGACCAATTAGGAGGCTGTTGCAAAAGTCTAGGCGAGAGGAGATGCAGAGTTGATCTAACATAGAGATGTTGTGGAGATAGAAATCACATGATCACATGATCCAGCAGATTGGATACGTGGGATAATTGAAAATAGGAGTCATGAATAGCTCCAAAGTTAAGTAGGAGACATGCCTAGATTCATCTTTAAAACAGTGTCACATTTTCCCTATATTTAGTAAGTATTTCTCCAAGATTCATTAACCTGTAAGCTCTGTGTTTTTTATTTTCTAATCAGGAGCAGAGGATCATTTATTTAGATCTGGAAGGGTTCCTAGAGGCCATCTGGTCTAATTTCCTCAATTTACAGATAAGGAAGTTGAGGCCCAGCAGGTTAAGTGACTTGCCCAAGGTAACACAGGTAGTAAGTATGAGAAGTGGGGTTAGGTCCTCTGACTCCAGAGCTAGTGTTCTTTTCACTGGACCATGGTGCCTTCAAGGTTTCAGTTCATTTTTTGGTTGTTACTTCCTTTTCCTTATGCCTGATAACAAGTCTTTCCTTACCATTAGTCCAGAAGAATAAACACATTTTAAAAGGTGTTCCTCTTTCAAAAAGAAGAGAAGTGCAATGTATCCAGAATTCTGAAGACATCAGTAGGTAGTAAAGGGAATTCTTCCAGGAAACAAAATGAATAAAAAATATATTTAATACCTTTCATTAACACCTTTTATAGACTTAAACATGACTTTCTGAAGCTACTGACAATGGAGGCTGTGACCCCACCTTTGGTAAGGTAGAGTGACCCAGTGAGCTTATCTTGGATGGTACTTAATTTAGGAACATAAATATATATTTTGCATAACCTGGTCTTACTCATATTATTCTTATATTTGCTACATTATATTTAAAGTGCTGTTTGTTTGGGCTGACATTCTGGAGAAACCATAACTTCCTTAGTATAGGTACTGTCTTCATTGAAGTAGCTCATAGCATTTTCACAGCTCCATCAATCTTTTAGGTAGTTGCCCATGTGCTTCCCAGAAATCCTCCATAACAGATTTACCCAAAACCTTGGGACTCTTGGTCTTTTAGGAACCTGGGTATACCCTTATGCGGCTTGGGCTGACCATCTGTTGATTCTCATTGTCATGATATGCTCAACCAACTCTCTTTGCCATTAATATACATCTTTAGTAGTATCTCTTGTGCCAGTTTTGTAATGAAAATTATCATTAGTGACATGTTGCAGCCTGCTT